ACAGGAGGTTGTTCAAGAAGAGGAAGAGACAATACATGAAGACAGTGAGTGAGGTATTGAGTTGGTATCTGAGGTTTCAGAAGAGGAAATTCTTCAGGTCCAGTTCCTGACTTACCTGAAGGAATTACAGTGGCATATACAATTCCCGAAAAGTAAGGAGATTCTGTACCTGAGGTGACTGTGGGAGATTCTGGTGAAAGCTCGGAAGACCTCTTGGCCAAGATGAAGAATTTGTAGACAATGGACTGACCTGTGTTTTTCCTGAGTTTAAGCCTATGCAACATTAATACATACTCTTTACAAAATTGTTATACTTTTTGAAGATACTATGTTACTTGTTGCTTTCTCCTTTCAACTAAATCAGTAACTTTTGTCACTTTCTCCCTTCGACTAAATTAGTTACTCTCCTAAAACCCATGTTTCATTCTAGTTAAGAAAAACGTGAAAACTTAGCCACTGAAATGTTTTGGCCTCTTGGGAGGGGTGGGAAGTAAGGACCAATTTGATGCTATATTTCTTTTCTTTCCAATAATTCTGCGTGGTCTGTTTCCTGAGGCCATGGACAGTAAGTAGTATGTGGTTCTCAAATATAGGGGAAAAGGACAGGAGGTACAACCTGTTGATTAGAGCTAGCAGGCATCTACTCATTGTATTTAGAATCATGCTCTATAAGAAAACTATCCACTACCATTGACTTGGCCAACAGTGAAAATTTATAGTACTAACCTGCAAAATAAAAATATCCTCTCAAATGTTACCTGATGAAATATAAGCTGAAATGTAGCCATTAGAAAATTTTGTAGGGGCGCCTGGGTGGCGCAGTCGGTTAAGCGTCCGACTTCAGCCAGGTCACGATCTCACGGTCCGTGAGTTCGAGCCCCGCGTCGGGCTCTGGGCTGATGGCTCGGAGCCTGGAGCCTGTTTCCGATGCTGTGTCTCCCTCTCTCTCTGCCCCTCCCCCGTTCATGCTCTGTCTCTCTCTGTCCCAAAAATAAATAAAACGTTGAAAAAAAAAAAAAATTTTTAAAAAAAAAGAAAATTTTGTAAACCGTGAATTATATATTCAAAACAAGACAAAGGCAAATAAAAGGAAGCTTTCTTCATGGGTAAACAGATAAAGGTACTTTCCGAAGTACAAATTATTCTATTTCTGCACTGACCAAGGAAAAGAAATAATTGCATCTGTGGAAAAATGTATCTGGAGTCACTGTACTTTATTGAAGCACAAAGAATAAATTTAGGCTAAGATCATCTAGATTATACCCATTATATGGGCTACCTTCTGAATACTGCATTTTAATTTGATTCTCTAGATAATTAGATAGTTGTATTTGGGGCATAAAAGAGACCTAAATTTCCCCAGCAATGACTGGCATATATTTATTCACTGGAAGGGTATCATTTACCCTGATCATGACCATTACATTATAAACTGATAAACTGGTTGTCTCTGAAGTTGCATACAAATAATAAAAGCTTGGAGGGCCTTGGTTACATAAATTCCCCGTGGTTTGGAAACCAATAAAAAATATGCATATGTAACCGTTATCAGTAGGATGTTAACGTGCTATGCTAATCTTGTATTTTGATGATTTTTTGCTTTGAAGATACAAATGTCTGAATTGTATCTCTAGAGAAGGGGTGCCTAGGTGGCTCAGTTGGTTGAATGCTTCTGACTCTTTTCTTTTTTTATTTTAAATGTATTTATTTTGAGAGAGAGGTGCAGAGAAAGGAGAGAGAAAATCCCAAGCAGGTTCCACACTATAAGCACAGAGCCTGATCCTGTGCTCAAACTCAAACCGTAAGGTCATGACCTGAGCCGAAGTCAAGAGTGGGATACAACAGACTGAGCCACCCGGGCACCCCTGAGTGTTCTGCTCAGGTCACGATCCCAGGGTTGTGGCATCAAGCTCCACATTGGGCTCTGTGCTGATCATGGAGCCTACTTGGAATTCTCTCTCTCCCTCTGCCCCTCTACCCTGCCCTCTAAAGAAAGAAAGAGAGAGAGGGAGAGAGAGAGAGAAAAAGAAAGAAAAGAAGGAAGGAAAGAAGGAAGGAAGGAAGGAAGGAAGGAAGGAAGGAAGGAAGGAAGAAAGAAAGAAAGAAAGAAAGAAAGAAAGAAAGAAAGAAAGAAAGAAAGAAAGAAAAAGAAAGAGAAAGAAAGAAACTCTAGGGAAGAAATGTTAGTACAAAATGAAAAATGCGATCTCCACTTATAAAATAAGGTTCTAAAAGTTGATTTCAGAAAGTGCCCCCACCCAAAAAATAATAGCACCTTAAGAAATAAAAAGAATTATCTCCTTGAACCAGCATGAGCCTTCTTACCTAACACCATTCTTTACCTAGTCGAGAATACATTAAGAAGATACATTAAAATTTATACAAGAATGGTAAACACTATGCAGTGTCACATGTGTCTCTTTAACATTCCACATTTTAGCAATTGCCAATTAAAATTAGTGCCTTTTCTCCATGGCTTATGATTTACAGCAGTTGGCAGTGGCTTCCATGATTTCACCTTAGCCTAGCTCTCACATGTGGAGTCCCAATCACTGCAGGTGCCATCAGTGAGTCTTTGTATCTTGAAGAGAGTGATACAACATTGAGGAAAATAAGTTGGGTGGGTTAGATGTTATTCTTGAATTGTGTCATACGAAGAGTGTTTGAAAACATGGTTTCAGTAAAATGAAGCAACATAACATACTGCCGCGGCTGTTAGGTAACTAACAACGGTTTGGAAGCGGGTGATCTTTGGTTCAGCAGTGTTTTATGATCGTTTTATTCTCCAGTTATGTCCCTGTCAATTACAGATTATAAGCACAGTAAGAACTGGACTTACTAAGATCAGTGTTGACCTGAGGCAGTGATAAGCAATGTATTTTTTTTTTCCATGAAGGAAATGTATTCATTATAGTGGAAAGCATTTTTAAAGTGATGTTTAAGGAGCACAGCTATAGTGGTGCAGTTCCCATGTTTGTGTTTGAATTTAGTACATCATTGTGGTTTTATTGTATTACAAAAATAGAAGCAGGGGTGCCTGGGTGGCTCAGTCAGTTGAGCGTCCGACTCTTGATCTTAGCTCAAGTCATGATCTACAGTTCATGAGATTGAGCCCCAAATTGGGCTCTGCACTGACAGGGCT